TGCTAAAAATTTTTATAAATTCATTCAAAGTCAATACATGAAAGCGAAAGATAGTACTGATATAATTGTTAACTGTAGCTGTAATAACTGTACTAGACATTATATTACTAATTACTATTAATTATGCATAGTTTAAACTTCTTATTTCTTCCTTGAATTACGTACACCTGTGCAGCTTTTTAAGTTACCTTTATGACCATTTTAATGCAGGGAAATAAAATTTAAAAAATTTAATTCTCACTAAATAGCACTGCGTAATCTTTTACCTAAAATATTCTTGGTTATCAATCATAATACTTCAAAAATTGTAATGAAATTATGCCATGTAAACAGAAACGTCTTGATGCTCGTTTCAGCGCTAAAAAAATTTCTGTATATTTCGCCTTTATTTGATATTGCTTACAGGCCATAATTACAGATAACTTGGTTTAACATACATAATTACTGATTAAATATTATGTTGGTTTATTCTTGTTTTTATAATATATTATTATATTGCTGCTCAAAGGATGCATACAACACACATAAGTAAAATTAATAATTAGCACAAATTTATAATTCATAAAGTAAAGAAAACTAATTTTTGCATCAATTTTCCTATCCTCCCCGTTTTAATAATCCCTTTTTAAGCATTAAAGCACTGGAAAGAAAAGAAGGAATCGAAGCATTAAAATATTATGCGTATTTATGTAACAATTATAATTCGTAGGACAATTTATGCGTATTTATGTAACAATTATAATTCGTAGGACAATTTAACGTGTTATTTTGCAAATATTTATATTAACTGCATACAACATTTTCAAGGTAACTTCGATCAAACTTTTATCTGGAGTCCGATTTATTCAGATAGATTGATTAAAATATTTAATTACTACTTAAGAAATAGAACCGTATATTATTCAGAAAATAATGTAAATTATGCAAAAAAGGAACCACGAGCAAATATGTCACTAAAGCTCTGCAACTATACGTGGAATTGTTGTTTGTGTTATAAGTATAAATTTCGGCACATTATTAATAGGAATTATTTGGTGTTTCGGAAAATAGTAAGATTCTTTTTGAGTTTCAGATATTTACTCTACATTCAAATAGAGAAACCTTATTTGCATTTATAAAGCACAGACCATTCAAACACTTTTAAGAGTTTTTACATGTCTTAATAAGATACTCTCTATATAGACAGACAGATAGGTAGGTATACTATGTAGAAATATGTACATAGAAAAGAAAGAAATATATACAGATATATACAAAAAGAAGGAAATGTGATTAGATGTGTAAAAAAGAAAGAGAAAAAGTAATAAAAAAACTAAATCAAAAAGCTTTCATCATGATGCAACCTACTCCCACACCATTCGAAACAAGCCATGTATTTTACATGTAACAATAAATTTCAAAAGACAGTAAATTTAAGAAAAATAGTTTTTCTTAATTTTGAAACAAATTAAAGAATTATTTGGAAAAAGTTTTATTGAAAAAATATTTAATATGAAATATACGAAATAGACATGAAATACCAAGAAGATCAAATTGTTCAATAAACGAAGAAGAAGGGAGAAAAAAGATAAAAAAATATAAAGATATAAAGGGAAGAAAGTTTACACTTACATTTTTTAATAAATATGAAATTTAATAGACAGTAAAATACGTAAATAAGTGGAGAAAAATAATCGGACTTTATTCTGATTAAAATGACGATTATGTTAAAAATATATAATGGGAATTACTTTTTGTAATACAAAAGACAAACATAGAACTCCAAAAAGGTAAAACTGCCCAAGTAACTAATGGGAAAATCACCAATAAAACCCAAAATTTCCAAAGCACTGGAACCATGCAGAAAAGTCTGAAGGTTCAGCCGCTCAGACGGAAAGTGGTTAGAGACTGTGACTGCCGTACCGAAGGGCTCGGGTTCAAATTTTGGAGAAGGTATGAATGTGAATTGTGTGTCACTTCATAGGAGGTACTGGTGGTCGCCTCCTCCATAATAAAATAACCACCGTTTCTGGCTTTAATATTGACCAAAGCTTAAAATGCCTAGTGCCAGTCATAAGGAAAGGTCATAAGTTGTTTACAGCCTTAGTATTGCAGTTATGTTCTTAAATTCGTTTTTAATTATTATGTAATGATGTGGAAGATTCATTAACAATTTTGACGAGTATCAGTATTGAAAACTAAGGTCATACATTCACCATGAATTGAATATAAGGTCCTTCGATTTTTAGCTGTATGTACTAATGATAATGGCATTATAAAGATGTATAGGAGGAACCACATCAATATTTTACAAATCTCAAATTCGTGATTTAATGTAAAAATTCTAGTTGTTTCTAGAATTAAGCTATCCTTCTTATTTAAAAGATGCGGGTTTTCCGTTTTATACACCAAACTAAATAAGACATAGAATAAGCAGGAAGTACCGTTATATTATGTGCATAACAAAGCTTTCAAATATGGTATTGAATAACTGCATTAAGATTTCTCATTCTTCTGGTATATGAGCAATAAACGGTTGCCGAAAGCAGGATGCATATCATTAATACTTTACGCGTTCCGGAAAGATAACTTTCTGTGGAAAAAATAGTTAGGTGTAATTCACAAATTAATAAAGTACTTAAAATGTATACAAACCTAAATATTACTATAATTAAAAGGGAAAAATGAAGCAAATGTTAATTGAAAGGATGATGTCTGATGTAACTCATTAAACATTTTGCGGTAAGAAATGCAACGTGCTTCATTACCTATCATAAAGTATCCTATTCTTCCTTCATTTAAATATATCTCAGTTACAAAATCAGACAGATCCTGCACCCTTTTTAACAATTCGTTCAACTTCTTGCACGTTAAAGGCTCTTGATCGTTTTCACTATCGGTTAGCATTGTAAGATCATCCAGTTTTTCATTTGTCATCTGCGATCGTTCATTCTCGACTAATTCATTAAAATCTCCTTTTTTCATGTCTAAAAATCTTTCGTCACCAATTGTTTATGTATTCTGTACGATTTTCTTGGCTTCATTTTCATCGATCGAAATCCTTTAAAAAACTGTTGGAAAATTCTTGCCAGAGCTGACGCCACACTTGTTCCCATGCGAGTTAATTCGTTTTTATGCGCTATCTTATGGTGAATTGCTCCCAAAATGCCATTAGCGTGTCGTGAATTCTTTCATCTAGTACTTTATTTAAAATATGTAAATATGCCTGACACGGTTTTGAATATTTTTATGGTTTCTTGATCCCTTATTTGGATTAAAGAAGGTGTGTACGTTGGAAGGAAAGTCTCTACATTTGGATGTAATATTGTGTGGGCTTCAGTACCGTGTCCTGATGCATTATCGGGGATTACGAGACCGATACTCGGCAGTGTACCACGTATAATTGAAATTATTGCGTTGGATAAATTGAATAGAGATAACTAAGATACCGCGTACAACGTAAAATCGAATTTTGCAAGTTCCACGTTCTGCAAGGGTTTACTGTATTTGCACATTCCATTGTTCGACACCGTATCTGAATCATTAATCTTCAAAATCGTTGTCCTGAGCAAAACGTATTAAACGCTTTAAAAGAAATTAAGTTTCGTGTTCTAAATAATAATTCTAAACATAAGTGTTTTAGCATGTAAATTTAAAAATTGCCTAAAATGGTCATAAAGATGAATTCAGCAGTACAAATTTGTAGTTTGAACATAGAACCGAACCAAATCAACAGGATATATTTTTTTCCGAAGGTTCTAGCAGAGCAGATAGGTAGAGAAAGGTGACAGTATGAACTATTAAAATTATCATATTAAAATTATGAATAGAATCAAGTTTTGTAAATGCGTATTTTTTGTAAATATTTTGTCATCAAGGTTATTCGCAGTTCATAACTAACTCATAACAAACAAATTTAAATACATTTAAATTTCAATTTAAAAGAGTAGAGAAAATCGCAATTTTAAAAAAATAAATATCTTTCTTTCTTATTTTCATAAATGATTCTAGGTCTTGAGAGAAACACATCGAAGGTAAAAAATATCGAAATTAAAACTTTCTAGCTGTTATGAACGTCATAAACGCAATTACAATGAAAAGAGCAGCGATATGTCATTTGAAATCTAAATTAAACATAGTGTCAAGGAGCATAACTATGAAAATGTGAAACTGCTCTTTTTAAAAAAAAAAAAAAAAAAAAAAAAAAAAAAAACACTTTTGTAATAATATTATTAGTAAGCTACATGCCTTTAAAGGAACAAAGGAAACATTAACATTTTGAAAAATTTTTGTTTTAATTATATACATAGCGTCCAAAAATATATTGAAACAAACAGGTTGGAAAATGAACAGTGTTTGTTTTATTCCTAAGAGCTTCGAAAAGGATACTATATATAAAAATTAAATTATAAATTGATGGATTATTTTCAAGTCTCCAATATTTAAAAAATAATTGTTAAATATAAAATTTACTCTAACGTATTTAAGTTAGTACAAAATATTAGTTTGTATTTTATAAGTTCTATTTTGTAATGAGAGTATAAAGCTGAATATTTCAACTAAACTCAAAATAATTAACTAATTATAGAGTGTATTCGTAGTTAATACTTTAACAAAAACCTCCATTAAATAGATTAAAACAAATTTTTAAATACTATTTAAACATGATCTTAAAACGAAAGTACCATTTTAACGTTCACATTCTGTTCTAACTGAAAATTAGTATATATAAGTTACATTCTATTCCAATTGATATTTAGTCTATAACAGCATGTGTTTAATATGTAAAACGTATAAAAATAAAGCTAATTATATATTCGTGCTGTGATAAGAGGCTTCAGTATATAACTAGTTTTATTTAACTAGTTCGAACCTCTTATCGTGACTCGGATATACAATTAGCTTTATTACGGATTTTTATGCATTTTTGTCTAGGTTCTGTTTATGTAGTTTCTAACTTATATTAAGGGTTATCTAAATTTTATGTTACAAATTGACATAAAAAAAGAAACATTACTTACGTGAGGCATAAGCTTATCAGCGCTCCCAACTCTAGTAACTTTATTGCGATTTAGGAGCTTTTTGATGAACTTTTCACATGACTCATTAAATTTCATGAATGTGACGTAACAACCGTAGCAGCAGAGGAGAACTAGAGCCTCCCACCAATAAATAACACTGTCCTGGAAGAATGTCATGAGTAATATAAGAATTATGGCATAGAATGAGACATCACGGAAGAGTGGCCACCAAGTTAGTTCGAGTACGGTTCTGCTAAAAATGGCGCACATGGAAATGACAAAGAGAATATTGAAGACAGCAGATCCAACTATGGTACCAATACCAACGTCATCATAGCTGATAAAGACACCGATGATACTGGTGAAGAGTTCAGGAGCACTGCCCCCGGCAGCCATGAAAGTGGCACCAGCAACATCTTCAGAAATACCTGCTTTCTCTGTTATCACATCTAAGGAGGGCACAAAAAATTCATCACAAACTATGGCTAGAGCAACAAACATGTAAACCAGCCCAATGACGTGAAGAATAACAGCACCGTGTTGGCGTTGCTCCAAGGTGAAGAGGTCCTCTGGGAATTGTGCCGTCTTATTGGTTATTACTTCTGATAACAAATGCCTGTTGAAGGAAGATGTCAAGGAAGTAGCTCTGTTGGAGCAAGGTCGCAATGAGATCCTTGTAAGTAAGGTCCCCAAGGTAGTAATTTGGCCCATAGAAAAGTAACCGATGACAAAGAGAGTTGACAAGAACACAAGTGCAGGATTCCTCCATCGTCTTCTGTAAAAGCGCAAGAAGGAAAACTTTTTCTTGGCTGCAGCAATTTCCTTGCTATGTAAGTTACAAACCATCTTGTCGGTTGTTAATAAGTTATAAATAAGGCAGAGGAATGGTTTAAATTATTTTAGCCTTTGTTAAATAGGTTTGCCTGAAGAACCGGCAGTGTCACTGTCCTCTGAACAGTCCATTGATGTTGAATAGTCGGGCACAGTTCGAAGTGCAGGACCTATACCCACTCGATGTGCGTAATTTCGATGATACGACATGTGAGTTGCAGATCTGAATTATCACTTGAATGCAAGAACATCCTATAAAAACGAAAAAGATTGTATTTATTATTAAGCAATTTGAAATTATCTTTCAACAAAATTATATCACATATTGGCATTAATTATTTCATAATACTAATGTTTCTTCCCAATTCAGTACTTAAGTCATATAAACTGAGATAGAAGTTTTAAAAACGATTTATAAATGAACTGAAAGGAAAACCATAAACAATCTTTAAGCAAAAACATTTAATGTATTTTATTTTTGCGTAATAAGAGGTATATATAATAAATCGAGCTCTTGCTTCGGTAACCGGCGAATCAACACGCTGGCTTTTGTGATTTCCCCAACATTTTATGGTAGCGCAAACTGGTTTCCTTACGAAGACATTCTTCAAAAGGAGATGGTCTTCACAAGCGTTTTCATAAAAAATAACAAAGATTACCAGGTAGCCCAGAGATTTGCCAAAAATTTAATAAATCTCGTATTTGTGTCATAGGAAGCAGTATCACAACAAATAGCGTAACATATATCCGCTTTATAAGCAATGTATCATTTATTTTTTAATAATACGCCCAAATGTATATTTTGCAATATACTTATTATTCATGCTGAATAATAATCAGTATATTATAACTATAGACCACTAGCGTTTCGAAGCTGGTCCATTTTCTTTATTATACAAGAAACGAATTCCCGTGGGATGCTGGGGCGTGCCTGAATAAATGAAAAGAAAAGAGCCGAAGCTGCTGCATGAACGACTCTGGTAATTCATTTAATCGACGAACTTTAGCTACCCACTCCCTCTTTTCCTACTTTTCAACCATGCAATGTACGATCTTTAAATGTTTCCCTTTGGTACAGAGGTCTTTCAAGTAGAGGTACCAAATAATGGTAATAATAGCAATGGCAGATGACGTTTTTCACGACATGCTCGGCTAGCCAAGGTTGCGCATGAAAGGAATGGCAGACGTTAAGCAGAAGGTTGTTGAGTGATTGGTAATGTTTAAAGCTTGCAAAAATGAAATATATAGGAATGTAGGTAAAGTAGTTTAATCTTGTAAAGTAAAAGTAGATTTAAACTCATGTAAATGAATTCGCACGAAAGCGATGATAAATCATAGACTGCAATCTACAGATTTATCGTTTCCGAAATGAATAAAATGGGAATTATTGATATTGTTTTAAAATTTGGAAGCATGGTTTAAAATATTCTACTCTTTTTTACTACTTTCTCTATTGCCTATTTCTATTACTATCGTAGGACAAAATTTAAAATCCATTAATAACTGTCTGTGTCTAAAATAGCATTTCTAAGTAAACTATTTTTAAGTAGTTGTTTTAAAATTTTCAATATTTTCGTGGAATTTGGTTGCTTTTACAGCTCGGACACTTTTCTTTTATAAAACGCTGGTAACTCTATTGTACCTTGTTTTCTGTTTGCTTTGTTTTAGTAGGTGTTTAGTAGTTTGATTTTATTCAGTAGGTAGCATTTTAGTGGATATTGTTAATGGTTACAGCACTCAAATTATTAATATATAGTAAAACTGGCACAATTTCTGTAAGTAAATAACCAAAGTGCCCATTTTAAGAGGATTGTTATCAACTGATAGTTACTACGATAAAGTACTATACGGCATTTTCATTAGTAAGTATTATGGCATAATCACAGAATACGGTAAGTTGGTTCATATGAATCCTTACTATATATATATATATATATATATATATATATATACATAAATTAGAAAAAATCCAAATTGCTTGAGTCTTAAAATGGACACTTTGGTCTACTTTTAAAGATTTTATTCGCTATAATTTGTGCTCTGACAGTCAGTTATAGGAAGCACCTAACAGCTGTGTACCTTTTACTGTTTATTTTTTTTTCCTTATCTATTTCATTTTTGCAGATGATTGAGTCCCTTTCTTATTTGAAAATATTAGTAAATAGTAATGTAATATTTGTTTTAAAAAGGCGGTTCATCAAATGTATGAGTCCAATGTATGACCAAATGTATGACCTTGCATCAGATTTAGACATCAAAAAATGCGATTAAATTGCCTTTGTTTAATGAATAAAATTAATCTCAGTAACTACAGAATTAATAAATAAACAAAGATTTTAATTACGTCAACAGATGAAAATTAAAATAAATTGACAATTTTGTTCTTTATAAACGTGAACTTAAAATTTCTGCAATAAAGTATTTGACATAACACGATTTTCGGACGAAGTGAAGACTTGAAATTGACTGATTAGAGGAAATATCACATGAATTAGGGAATTCTGTATAACTAAATTTCATATTTGTTCTCACTGTCTTACACCGAAGTATGTAACAAGCAGAAAAGGTACATAATTTTTGAAGTAATACGTCTTGCACATTTAAAAGCTAAAGAATAACGTCACGAATTTAATAAATTATTGTACGAAGCATACTACATTTAACACCTTAACATTGACTACCTTTGTGCCTGAGGAAAAGCAAATTAGGTTTATATTAAACTATGATCTAAGAGGCTACTACATAACTATGATCAGGAATAGAGCTTCCGTCTCTCACTTACCAGCTAGATGTGCTGACCACTGCTTTCTAAGAATATATAAAGGGAATGTGTTTAACTTCTGATTACCCTCTGTTTAAAGGATAACTTAAAGAAAGGGTGACGCCCAATCATTCAGATAAAGTTAGTGTCAAATTTTCTTCACTCCCAGCTTAATTCAGACTACAATTGTAGAGTCGTTAGGTTTTTTGGAGAAATAAATCATAAAGCATATATCGTCGTGTTGCGGGGAACTGAGAATAAATCTTCCAGTTACTTTGATTTCGCTAATCACTATATCACAACAACAAAGGGGAGGAATGCCTGTAAGTCTTTGCAATATCGTGTACTGACCGTGTTGTAAATTTGTAATAATTCATAATATTAAACTAACGAAAATATGCAGATAACTCAATTATCACTTATACAGTTATTGTATTAGAACAGTTGTACCTATGAAGACATAGTTGAGAATTTCGATTGCATTACGAATGCTCGTAATTCATCAGTTAAAAAAAACTGTATTACTGTTTCAAATGCTGGATAGCCAAACCAAACACTAAAATTTGATTTTTACTCTGTGCTTATTCATATGATCATCATCAGCAATAACATTTAACGTACTTATAACAGTTCTACATTTATTTAACTGATTTTTAACCCTATTTTAATTCTTAACTAATTTAACCCTATTTTAATTCTAATTTGAGACCACCAGCGGCCGAGCGATAAAGTACCTGAACATTGAAATTCTGACCTGGGTTCGATTCCAGGCGAGCGAGCGGGTTTCATGGATGTTTCCGTAGATTTCCCCATGTGTAACGTGTATACGAGCCAGTTTATCTTAGAATGTCCTCCACGAAGGAATCCTTCCTCTTAGGCATATAGCCCTAGCATGCTTTGTCATAATTAAATAAACCAAATCAATATCTTGCATGAATCTTTAATTTAAAGGGAAATTTTATTGCTCAGTTTAAGAAAAACATAATTTCCATAACTGCTAAGTTTTTGTTTCGAGGCCTTACATAGTTTCAAGCTTCGTATAGTGTGTACCCAAAGTTTTTCCAGTTTCATATAATGTTTATGAAATACAGCAAATTATTTCGTCGCAAGAAGTATTCTATCATTATGTAAAGCGACAAAATAATTTGAATTTTGTCTTTCTTTCCTAAATTTTAGTTTTTATATATTTTTTCGTTAATATAATAATATCAATTACACTAAGTCTTTAATTATAGTACAGATTTAACAGCTAAAATTTGCAGAAATATCCAAAGCCTTGGCTTTCGAAAAATGAAAGAGGTTGCGTGTATTTTAGTGATGCTGTCAACTTTCAGAATGTAGCCTCCTGCTGCAAATTTCCTTCTTCCACTTATAAGGATTCACTTCTTTGTGAAATGTGTCTTTGAAACCTTTCAAATTTGGGTTCATACATTTGAAACCTAATCTTAAAAGACTAGATTTCTAGTATTTGAGACCTAATCTTTTACGTGATATATAGTGGCTGCTTTTCTCGGTTCTATGGGGTCATAAAAATGTAATGCTCTTTTGTGAAACAGTTTAATTCTTAGATAATAATTTGTTGTTCTTCAAAAAAAGAAAAACTGATATTGTACCCTAGCAACTGAAAATCATTTGTTTTGAAAGCGTCATTTTAAGTGCCGAAAATCAAACAACAAATGAAGTGTGGAAAATTTCATATTGTCAAAACAACAGTGTTATTTACTACTACAACTAGCTCCCTCTCTCCAAGAAGAACCTGAAAACTTTTATTTATGATCAAGATTTATATTTATTTCCTATAAAATAGAGAATAGTTTTAAATTTGAAAACAAATGTTGCTTATAGAAAGATTCTTTAGTTTCCAACAGTATATGGTTCCTGTTTATGAAACAGAAACATATTGCAGCATGTGATTTTGTTGCAGAGTATGAGACGTAAATAATGTAGTAAAATATAAGATTATATTTATTGTGATAAATGAATTTTAATTGAGCATTTTAAGTGTTATGTTTTCCTACGTTATTGGAGAGATCTCGAAAAAATGTAATAAATATTCAAAATAAAAAGTTGAATAATTATAAAACTGTTAAAAGATATATTTTATATCTCATTTCCAGACTTATAATTGAAACTTAGATATGCACTATGTACTGACTTTGCGATTATGATAAATAATCATACATATTACATATGTACACTTCTAGAACTCCAATATTTAACTTACATTGCTCATTTTTCAAGTCTCACGCATGAAAATAACCTTATGTCTCTACGGAGTGACCCAGACTTTTCATTTTCTAATTAGGGTATTTTAAAAATTGTTTGCAACACGAAAAGAAATATTTATCTCTTTCTGTGAATGGTCGGTATAATTCAATCTTAGTCAATTAAAGTAATTAAAGTCACTAAAGTCTTAAACTATAGTTTAAGATTTAAGATTGACTTTTCCCCCATTTAATGTGATTCTATGATAGATTTTGGGTATTGATTA